TGTAGATATATAATGTAGTCTATTACATTTCGTGTCAGTTTCATGACTTGATCAATAGAACTTTGAAATGGGATGTACATGCACACGGTCCAGTGTGGAGGATGAACAAAATTGTTTTGTTTGAAACATGAATCAAGTAATGGTCTCTTTTTTATTTCCTTAATAGATTTCGATAATTTCCTTGTATGAATACACCGTCTTTGTTATCTTATTGCAAATGTTCTTTTTTGTGTAATATTCTGTGGATGGCATGGTAGAAAATTACTTTTCAAGTCCCCTGCATGTACCTAGTGTTTAAAATAATTAGTTTTCACTATCGATATATACTATGGCAATTAGTCTGTCGATACACGATACAACAGATACACAGTACTATTTTAATATTGCGACCAGTCTCTGAAGCTTGTCATTTTGGAATCTATTTCCGTGAATTCCAGCAATACTTGCTGCATTTAACTCTGACTGAAATATGAACGAAAAATACCAATTATCTTTATTACAAGTAATTTCTGCTATTCCGATATTAGCATAAGTATGTGTTTATGAATACCAGTTAGGGTCTTTACGAGAAGTTGCATAAATGATAACCTAAGGCAGGATTTGTGTCGTATCTTATTGTATCATTCGTCATCTGAAGGAAAAATCTTGGTTGTTGATGAATGCTAGTTATCAGATGATAACATCATGTTTACAGTACCAGTCTGGTATACTGTCATTTGTTTTCAAATGAAGCATGAGCAAGGTAAATTAAATTATTATCCTATGACAAACAATAATAGTATGTCCGTTTCATCACATTACAGCTGTATATAAACATATAAAACATGATTTATTTAATTAGAAATGTTCTCCATGTTTCAACGCGGTTGACGGAAGGCTGTGTCTCATGTGTACGATGTCAGCACCTAATAAACAGCTTCTTCAGATTTTTGTATTTGGCGTTTTGCGTGAGAATGATCAGTAGCAATGACCAGAGCCAATTACCCGGATAACACCATGTGGTACATGACACATCTAATTAGTACCAGCGATGTTTCACTCGCTTGTAGTCATGGACCAATAATAATTACAACAACAACAAAACCTGTTTGGGATGCATTCTAGAAGTTGTGAGTAACAGCAAAACAGCAACAACAACAACAACAACAACACTTACATAGGGCTCAACTCCATCACCGTATGTAATCAAATATTGAAATCAACATTACACAAATAAACCTGACCATACCCTTTCCAAAATCATAAGCTATCCCGATGTACAATTCTACGTTGAGAAAACACTGTCTAATGGTGATGACACCAGGTGTTCACAAGAAGAGGTGAGTATCCCGGTCAATGCATCAGGGTGCACTTGATATTCATTTTTCATCTCCCTGCGAAATATAAAGTATATTCATAAGCCAAGCTTGAACTGGTAATCTCTCAGTGTGTACTTGTAGGCATTTGAATGTGTGAACTGGTAATCTCTCAGTGTGTACTTGTATGCATTTGAATGTGTGAACTGGTAATCTCTCAGTGTGTACTTGTATGCATTTGAATGTGTGAACTGGTAATCTCTCAGTGTGTACTTGTATGCATTTGAATGTGTGATTGTTAAGAACTAGCTCCGGTAATGATCCTGCAGTAACTGACGATCTCTCACCCAACCGTTTGTTGGGATATGTAATATATACAGCCATGTACCTTTCCAGGTTAACCCCGCTCTCTTTAAGGAGTATCAAATAAAAGTTACAATATGTCCTTCTCTTACAAAAGAAGCGACAAAGCCCTTTCCACATCCGTAATAAATCGATTGTACAATTCCGGCTATATTATGAGTAAGTGTCTGTTTGTGTTTTCGCTCATGTGTTTGTTTAACGCCCAATTCAGCAATGTTACAGCCGTATCACCACGGTCTATAAACAGATACGTCCGGACCAGACAATCAAGTGATTGATATTATGAGATACGATGACAGAGCATGTGTTTATTCATCACTAACAAATAGTGATGACACCAGGTGTTGGCGAGATGTTGAGTGTTTCCTGTCCCGACGGTGGCACATAAACATAAGCAAAGTTTAGTCAATAGTTCACCTGAAAAATCGTGAACGTAAGGTACAAGTATAAAAATGCAATTGCATTGGACATAATTGTTTTTATCCAATAACTAATTTAGCAGTGAAGATAGAATGGAATAGTGCATGTGATACGTGATTAAAGCATCTTAGTTGATATTGAGAAACCGTTTATGATTATCCATTTAGAGGTTATGTCACCTGCATACATCAGTTTATATTGATCGTCACCTAATACTTTGATGTTTGCACTTGTTAAGCAACATTCACAATTAATATGGGTTTGTTACACTACTGTTTGTAACATATGGCATCTATTGATTTCGAATGGTTTTATAATGTTCTTTATACTCGATATCGGTAACATCATATTGAATAAATATAAGCGACAAAAAACATTTCCATAATAAAAACACCATTGCTACTAAAAGCTGAAATCATTGTTCGATTCCCACTATGTACTAGCGTTGAATATACCATGAAACAGTAAAGATACCAGGTGTTCGCGAAAAGGTGCCCGGATCCTGCTCCAGTGGATGATGTGGAATTTGGTGATATCTATATATAATGTAGTTATCGCCAATATATATATATATATATATATATATATATATATATATATATATATATATATATATATATATATATATATATATATATATATATATATATGTTGTTGTAAAGTTGTATATGGTTGTTGTACAGTTGTTGTTGTACAGTTCTTGTTGTATATATAGTACGTGTATCCCACATCATCCGCAGCAGTAAGTGCACACTATATTTGCCCTTCACAGATGTTATCATTATATGATCGAAGCAACAGAAGCAGTGTGTCAAGAGAATATCATTTCAAACCATTAATGTAAATGAACAGTATGAAAAGGTGATATTACAACATTTACAGGACTGTAATACAAGAGAATGTCATTGTCCATTTGACTTTTTTCATTCGCCATTTATTGAATATAGTAATACATAAATCACAGGTACAAAACATAGAAGTATTTCAATGGTATTCAACATGGTTAACATATCAGTGAAATGTATGTTGAAACAACAGTCATCATTATAATTTGGTTTCGTTCTGAACATCTGTATGGAGCTTCTATTACTGTTTGTCATGCTAAGAGAACAAACAACAAAGGTTCCTATGTCTCGCCACACAGGAACATGAATATAAGCAAAGCAAGCTTATGCTGACTCCCTTTCATCATTCATAGGGAAATCCTGCTTGTAGAATGTTGCTTGTTATTACTGTTGGGCGAGGTATAAAAAAATCCCGTTTCAGGTCCACAGAAATTAATTATCTGCTCTTCAGATTTTATCCCATGGTGATCGTGAGGAGAGTGAAATTGTTTGAGTTGTTTAAAACAATGTGTATATTTCATCGAGAAATGAAATGTCAATATGGTTTAGTTTTCTTTTCTTTTAAGTCGAGTCGTATCAGAGAGTTTGGGTCATGTTCATTACATCCATTTAGTCACAGGAGATGATGAAGCATCTTCGTGTAAACACGTGTCCTGATTAGATATTTAAAGCAAATAATGATGTGTGTTGTATAAAGTACTATTTCAGTATCACAAAGTACCTGCTTATCTAACGTGTATAGACCTACAGTCTGTGAATGATGGCCTGTTCAACTTCCTGCTGCTGGTGCTGGTAAGTGATAGATGTTACATGTTAATTCACGTGTGGTGATTCAGAACCACTTGTAACTCAACAGACTCGTTATGCCAACACGTGTCCATGCATGTAGTGTGAAGAGAACTCGGAAGTGTTAAATGTGTCTAACATCCATTACTTATGCATGTTTCTTCAGTGGGAGAAATGTACGTATAGATATACATTCATATCAAACACATATATCAAGTGCAGTCGGTTGTTCTTAAATATGTCGGTGATTGTGAAGCGCTCATTTTATGAGGCTGTTTACCAAGTCTAAGTGCCACACAAACATCTGTTGGCATCAAAGGACTCTTTCTATAGAAAAACATTGCAATGGACAATGTAAACAACGTACAAACAGCTAATGCGATTCATGACCACGACATCTCCGGGAATATTATTGAATAACCAAAATGCAACGATCGTCACTGGTGTCAAATTGTAGACGAATATGATGTACACCGTGTATCATGAATTTGTTATTTAAAAAATCATAAATGATTCATGGTTCAATCAGAATCTTGCAGGGGTCTTTCTTTTTAGCAGATATTTATTATGAGTATGATAATGGTTTTGAATCTGTCATGTTTCATTTGTTATAGATGTAGGTGCAACCAAATTCCTTAATTTGCAATAAGGTATATATATATATAAATCGGTTATAGAATATGTAAATGTAGGTCTGTGACTATTTACCAAATGGTCATATAACGCTTGCCATGTTGATGTACATGGAAGAGCGTTCTGTTGTTTTGTCAACATGCTTTCGTTATAATCTGTCTTGTTCTAATGAACACTTTTAAAAGATTTCAAACAAGTTGTGTTTATCTCAAGAAGTTGTCATAAAAGTCCTAAAATAACCCCAATCAGAATATGTATTCTAACAGAGAATTCGTCGTTCATGTTCTGCGGTAACGCTTGAAATGGATGTGTCATTTGGTGAAACCTACATTTGGATATTGTTTCTGTGTGTATCTGTAGAAGGCATGACAATAGGCTGGCGTGCTGGGCCTGATAAAACCTAGACTTTCCCAGGACTGGAGAAGCTGTAGATCAGTGAATACTGTCAACAGTTGCAACACCACATCCTGTCAAAAAGCCCAACTCTTGGTATTTGCTCTGACCTTCCAGAGTTCTTCCTGAGCCTCAACGTCTCGCTGGCGTCGGCCAGATTGCCTATTATTACATATGCTTTTAGAGCCTGTATAAAATATGTATCACTGTTGTAGAAACAGGAAAGAAGGCACGAAGGCACTGACAGAACAAATAAGGCAGTATGTAACGTTGGCCATTGAAATTGCACTTTATTTACACGTTATTTACACAGACACAAAACAGTAGACCCTACTCGTGTCATGGTGCTACGAAGTTAAAATCAAACTGTTTCTAGCCTTGTAACAACAATTCGGCGTTTAGAGCACAGTAACGATTGCAGAGGAAACATCGACATTCCCCAAAAGAGCTTTAAGTCCATCACGTTAAGGTCTGGGAGCGATAATGCATGTGTGTATTTCACATCGCTACGATAAGTGTCTTCTTTTGAATCTATTGTGTGAATATATCTAGAAGTATATAAAGTTACAGTGAAGCTAGCGACTAACAAAGTGAAATATTGGTGTTTTCATTGCGGTAACCTACCCGGGGTCCTGTCTTTGGACAAGAACGACGAGAGCACGGGTCTAGCCACGCCTCGGCGACTTATTGCCGGCAAGGTGTTTACTCTCGTATTGTCCCACGGAGACAGCGAAGGAACCGCGGGGCTCTACCGCCGTTATTTAAACCATTAGCGAACAACACGGCCAATGAAGAGGTTGAAAAGAGACAGGGGGAAAGTAAACACCCTCGCCGTCTTCCTAGCTAAACAGTTTCGCAATCTCTTGTTGCGGGTGACGGGTCGCTTAAACCTTTCTCCACCTCTGCCCCATCGGCTTGCCTCGGTGTTTGCTTCAGGCGCATACATTACGAAGTGAAGAAGCCGAGACTGCTATAGGTAAATGGTTTACGTCGACGAGGGAAACACCACGTAGAATCTTACACAGGACAAACATTGCCGGGACGTCTACAAAGCCATATACGTTACGGGAGTTGGTCTTTGACTCGAGTGACTAGACCTGACTACAACTGTCTTTGGCCACGTCACAAACCCCCCACTCACATGTATCCCATTTTGGTCTATTCTAGGTGATATAGTGGTGCGATACCTTAACAGAGAATATGCGACCGGGCGGGCTGGTACATGCAACTCTATATGCTACAAGTGTATTTTCCTTTATTACTTATGGCAGCACTTGAGTCCCTTTGATGTGAATCGTGATTACACAACCCATCGAGGACATCAACGAGATTTCACTTTCAAACGATCCGGTGAAGATTATGTGACGTCTCTCCGATCCGATACCCTCTGTCAATGTTTGTGCAATATAGAAACCTCTTCGTTCAAAATTTTATATATAATCATACAATCTCCACACAATACTTACAGTTACATGCTGCATCAACCTGTCCTAGCGTTTAAATTACAGAAGAGACACTTCATGTTAGACAGAACAGGTTCATGTTGGATCTTAGGGGTATCAAAAACCCTTTGTAAATGCATTGCACTTGGATGAGAAGTCAAGGCCGAAGATGTCCTGACTTTCTTCAGGGTCTTTATAGTCCTTTCGGGGCCTCATTCATCCACAAACATTAACCCTCAACAATATCAAGAAACACAATGTCCACAATATTCAGTCTATATCTTTAGAGTCTCTCGGAGAAGAGGATTCGTCCCAGCCATCCGAGATTTGGTCGGAGTCAGTCAGACCTGACTTGTCGCTGTTCTTGTCTGGGGTGCGGATTGAGGGTGGGGTGATGTCAGGAGGGGCAAGCCTGTAAGGGTGGAAGGAGAAAGGGGAACCCATCATCCCAGGGAGATTGGTTCCATGCATCCCTCCCAAGCCCGCATATGAGAAGTGAGGAGCTGGTATGATGTCGCTTGCACGGGAATGATGGGCAAACAGTGGAGATCTAAGAGCATCTGCTGAGAAGGGTGACATGTGAGGACTGAATGCTGAGTGAAGACCTGGGGGATGGGCTGAGGTTGGGGGTAAAGGAGTAAAAGCAGATTTTATCCCTGCATAAGACAGTTTATTGGAACCATTGACTGGTCGTACTGGAGAGCTGTTGCTCATAACACCAAGTCCATTTAACCCATTGAGTCCGTTGAGAAAAGGGTTTCCTCTACACTCCCCTCTACTTTGAGCATGTAACACTGCCTGCTGTTGAGCTAAGACAGTGTCCTGAGCCGACAGGAAGTGTTCAATTGCTTTGACTAAATCCCCACTGCATCCTTGCAAAACCAACTCCAGAACAGTCTTTCGTTGGAATGGGAAAACGCGCTCAAGTATTTCCAGCGCAGAGAGTCTCCCGGGTCTGTAAGCTGTTGGTATTGAGTTGGCCGATGACACCGGTGGCAGTGTGGTTGTGTGTTCAGACTCCTTGTTCTTCTCAGGAACCTTTGGATGGTGTTCTCTCACCGGGGTCTGGGGTTTCCTGGCGGAGTCGGAGCTCTCCACCACAGAGGAGGTTATTGGGGACTCCCCGCCACTGTCATTGCAGCTGTCATCGTCATCTTTGCTCTCGACATCTGCAACAACAAAATACCGTGTAGTTCATGATGCCACTAGAATTACAATTGTCAAGTTTCACTTGAAGATCGGAAACAAGAAAATAAATTAGCGATTGTGTATGTCAGATAAAATATCATGGTTGAATACACGATGACTTAATTGACGATAAAGTTTAAATGTTGCTTGTTTAGTATCACTGTCTTCAAATTCTGTGAAATGCTTCTGTTCTGTGTGGGAAATAATAAACGGAAAGGGAAGTGGCCATTTGTCATTCAAATGCCTCGCGTGTCATTTTAAAAATCGTTTCATCATATATGAAAAACTATAGGACAATATATTAATGTAATACATTTGCTTTCAGACAATAGTCAATAATATTTAACGGTTCAGCTGAATGAAAAGGATTAAATGTGTTTCCAACAAGATTAGAATTCTTTTAAAACGAAAGGAAACTAATATAAATGACGCATTCAAATGGATGATATGAGTTTTTCAGTTTCCAATACTATATGATTCATGAATATATATCCTGAATATCAAAGATCTAATCTGGAGGCCAAGTACGGTGTACAACTTCAATATGATATTTCGTCTCAGGTTTCGTGATATTTGATGTGGTCCTACAAGGCGAAAGTACTCGATAAATTCTTTTATCTTACATAGTCTGGGCACACGGAGCATATAAACTTTAATAAGGTGCTCAAAGATATTGATGACATAATACTAGAAATTCAGATATGATGTATCTGAACAGGAAACAGTTTCAGTGTCTATTGTTTGATTGATTTGTATCAGCTATTAGGTTTTGAACGACTAGGCTTAGTCGTTTTTAAAGCAGAAAAATAAAAAATATACATGTGGCAAACATTAAGTCTCATGCAAAGCCCTAGTTTGACTTTCACCAAGTTTTTCATACGTGACTTGTTTTTGCATGTGTTTGTGGCAGGTGCCATGCTCACCTTTACTTAAACACCTAACATGACCACTGTTGGAATCTCAATATGTAGTTGGAATGTCCTCTGACTCCTGTTTGTTACAATTTTGTTACAGTGTACGATTTAGTTACAGGTATCTACTTGATTAATGCTGTCAAATGATAACACATCTAGCATCTCACATGAACTATAATTAATTGAGATCACCACTTTCATGAAGACCATTTTGAAAAGATCATTCTTTTGTTTATAAAAAACCCAAACATATTATATGCCTGTGTCAGAAATAAGAATGATTGAGTATTGGTACATTTAACTCAATCGTTTGATTGATTTTATAAATGTATCTTCAATATTCCATAAGAGAAGTTCTCTATTACCATAAACAGAACCTAAAACTTTAACGAGTTGTTTGAACGACTAAAGAATATAAGCACAGCACAGGGCACAATAGAGTGAGCGGTGTTGTGTGGCGGAGGATAGAGCCCAGCGTCCCACGGTCACGTAACAGAAGCCTAATGAACATATAAACTTTTCGCCACGAAGATAGTATTACTGGCAAAAAATGTCAACTATACAAATATATAAACATACAGAGTGAGTACACGGGATCTTTCAGTATAACACACACAACGACGGGACGTCTGTGAAGAAGATATATTCACCATGCTCAGTCGCTGGTCTCAGGGTTATTTATGGGATAATAACATTTCATAATGTATAATTATCGGAATAATCTGAAAGTTTTGTAAATTGCATAATACATTCTTATTATATGCAAACGGCATAAATAGAAGAAACTGAAAAAATATTTAATGTAAATTGTATTTTTTAAGATAATTTATGGAAATACTTGGATTGACTATCATCATGTATAAAACATACGAATTTATATAAAAATATGGCAATTATAACTGTTTAGAAACGATTAAAAAATTACATTTGAAATTTCGATTAATCTAAACCCCAACTGACAAAACAACTCTAGCTTAGACCTAAGCGCCCCCAAAAGCACTTTCTGGCCCTCATCAACTGTAGGAAAAAGTCAATTTGTCCCAATTTAAGGAGAATCGTTACCATGAAAACCTGTCACAAGTGGCCCGCAAGATTAACGGCATGTGCTTCTGAAAAAGCAACATTACCTAGTAAAAATAAAATATAAAAACAACCACGCATTTGTAACAGGCCAAGCATGGGATTTGGTACATCTACTTGAAGTGTTATGTTAAGGTACGCACAACTGTTTAGGCGGGGCTTGCAAACTGTAACAAGCAATAGAGGATATACCAGGTGTGTTTAAGCATAATTAAAGCGATGCCGACATTTGTGCAGGGTCTTCAAGAACCTGTCAAGGAGCTTGGAGAGTAAACTTTTATTATTGATACTACTCGGCTGGAGCGAAAGTGTCAGAAAGCTATTCCAGTGACAAGATTCCAAGAATTTCCAATTTGAGGGCCATTTTCCAACGCGTGCCAACATAAAGACATAGTGTTTATATTTCACTTCTATGTTGCCTGTTCTGTCAATTAAAGGATTTGCAGGTCAGTTTGATGACCAGTTGATTTGGCGTTGACATGCAGATATGTTTTTCGCATAATTGATATTCATTTAGTCTTCATAACCGCTCATTATACCTGTGAAATGATACGCTTGGTGTATGTAAATTCTTCACTGGTGGTGTAGACATCTGAAGGGTATCTATTTAAAACCTCGTTTGTTTTGACGTCTTAAAGGAATAAATCTATTCCACACTTAGGCATTGACTATAGTTCTAAGTAGTGTTAGGGTTATTGGATCTACTGATGTTCGCTGAAACATTATTACATTTACTTGTTTCTGGTTTTTATAAAAGTAACAGAGTAAGTACAGGCCCATTAATGTTAGGAAATGTATGAAATACAATGTAACAAAAAATATGTTGTTTTTTTTAAAAATTATTGTGTCATCTAAATTCTTTTTTAATCATTTATGATACTAAATGAAAAAGCACACACCTGTATTAGGCCATTGGTAAATTCATTCTAATGCGTTCGTTTAAGAAATACACAACATTAATGTCTCGTACTTAAAATTATAAAATATATTTCTTTTTTCAGTTTACCAACTCTGAGGGGTATGAATGTTTTCATTTTTTTAACTTCCAGTGAATATAATATATGGTGTTTAACAATGATTACGTATTCAATTCCAATGTATAAAAGAAGTAGTGGAAAGTAAACCTATTAAATCCTTATGAACTAATAGAGATTTACTATTGAAAAAAACGTTGGAATAAAAAGGAATATATATATACACCTACAATAACTGTGGTAATACAATTGCAGTGGATTAAATGATTTTTAGGGGAAAAAAATCTAAAGTGAAAAATGTAGATAAATACAATTTGAAAAGAAAGTACGTGCACACTGAGATGTCCTGTATTAGCAGCACATGAAGCCTGATGAATTATTGAATCATCGCATTTTATCTTCATGTATCATTTTGAACATGGAAATACCATTAAACATAACTCGGGCATCAACAGAAGGGCTGTATGACTAGATTTATACATCACAGCAGTGAAAGCTTAAACAATCACACAGCTATTTATGAATCTGATGCATTTGCGATGCTTTATCAATAGCTATGATTGTAAATGTAACTTCATCCGTTACCGGGAGTCTTGTGGCCCAACTATAATTTTCAGCATGGAATTAATGTTCATGACTAACTTGTGTAAACATTTCATACGTTTATAGATTCAGAGGAGGATGATTTTATCATGATAATACAAATACTACTTTTTTTAAACAAACTGAAATAACATAAATTATGACAATACATTCATTTGATAATTTACAAAAATACAATCTCTTAATTGAGAAAATGGTTTTTTTACTACGAGAGGTATTCTAGCTAGAAGGATGACAATTGTTTTGGTTTGGGTGTTACTTTCTATCAGCTTTGGAAGAATGATAGAGTAATCGTATGCCATGTTTGGAGTCAACTGTGTGGTGAGATTTATCTATATTGATCACAGCCCCATTAACTGTAAATTTATCAGTAACAACCCAACAGCACATATCCATAGCATATACAATTAAATCTATAAATATCATCATGCGTCCTCAAATGTAATTATAAAAGATATGTTGTTAATGAACCATCTGACGTGCTCAATCTAAAGATTATGGTGTATATACACAGAAGGCAAGTCAATTTACCATTCCTTCCGATCTAACATATTTGTTCTTCCTGACTCCATCGACGATAATTGCAAACAACAAATAAACATTGATTCCTAAAACACTGCAACGCAACAAAGTAACATTACAAAATGCCTCATTTGAGTAGCAATTATCAAATAACTATTTCCGAGTAAACTTTCTGACGTTGACCTTCCAACAACCAATACCTGGCTGTACAGGTACGTGTTACATAACCCTCAAACACTGGCAGTCCGTCTCAGTCTCCCCATATATTGTCACAACCTAAGTCAATATGACTGCATGTTCTAATGCTTGGATAATTCCAACGTTACGTTCCCCATGACTCCGTATTTCCTCCCCCAGGCGTCACGGCGCCGGGGACGGGAGCTACCACGGTGGCCAGGCAATGCCTCGGAAAGGGGGTAATATTCAGGGAATGTGAAACAATGCAAAACTAACTGTTCCAGCATATGGCATAAATTCGAATCAATCTAACGTCATGGGAGCAAATCCGGTTAAAACTTTCGACAAGAAATTCTCGAGACAAATCTCCAAGACAGTCGGCTGTTCTATTGTGTTTGGAGTTGGTAATTTCGGCGCCGGAACAAGGACTATTCACCCGGTCCCTCCCCATCGAGAGGGGAAGGCGTTTGTATCGGACTGAATACTCCAAGTCGATACTTCCATGGGTTACTGCTGGATGCTACATGAAAAGATTTGAGGAAAATTCCTTGCATGGAGTATGTGTGAGAATCTTTGGTCGTAGGTAGCCAATCTCCCAAGATGCATGTAGATTGTGTTAGATCCTGACTCGAGTGTCTGTGTACAAAATGCCAGCACCTTTGACTTTTTCACCATACTACTCGTTATAGCATCAACAAAGGATTCTTTTCACTTGACGAAGAATTATTACAGAGTTGATATTCTTCTACGATGTAAGTTTACCTGATCCTTAGATGCTATCTTCAATAATGATACGCATTATCGGTAATCGTTGAAACTTGTCAAGGAAAGGTTTCAGCACAATGAAAACAGAAGGAACAAAACATGTACGCAAGAAAAAAAGAAACAAATTTATAGCGAATTGTGTTCGTAACATTTTGAAATATACATTACTTATAAGGAACCATAAAAATGCCAAATTTAAGAAGACTATTACCGCCACACACTTACATTTATTACTGGCATTTTGGGACCATTAACTGTAGGATCAAAGGCCTGCTATTTGTGTGGTTCCTTTGACCTTCATATGTGATCCAGTTAAGGGTGTTTAGACAAATCCACTCATATGCCTCGGAAACATTTGTTACAAGTGCTACCACACAAAAAGAGTTCAAGAGGGGGTTCCTATTTCTCCCCCTATTTCTCGTTGTAACAATCAACAATAGTATATTCTGTTGTTGCATCTACTTGAACGTCCTTGTATTAACACGACCTCTACCTACAGTTCCAACCATCTGCCCGTATAGGATTTACCAGGACGAAAAATGTCAAAAGCTTCCTATTATTTGCCTCCCAAACTTCCAAAGTTAAGTGGACGACTTCCACACAGTGTTAATTTTCACAGAGCCCATGGCGTTATTCTAAGTTGCCCACATATTGTTCGTATTCCTCGCCTCATCACGACCACGTGAGATGATGATATGTGTTAATTTGTTAAATGACCAGCGGTCAGCCCTCACCCCCACCCCTCCGTCTGTCCACGTCTAGTCATTTCGTGGCTTGAATCGAACTTACTGCATTAATTAATTCCAAATAAACACGTCACAGACTGGAGTTAATTTCACAGTGTGCTTTCTATTGTCAGTGAGTCCACATTCAAATACACCTAGTCTGACTTTGACATAGGCTTGTTAAGAGTAAATATATTGACAGATTGCTCCAGGAAGGGTGCTGATGGCCCTTAAACACATAGCAAGACGGGGCGAGTTGGCGACCCACGGGTTTCTCTGTTTGGTGATTAATCCTTATATTTACTGACATGATTTTAGTGGAAACGATACCTGGTCTAATCACGACATGTTGACAGGAATATTATCAAAATACGTCATTAACTACCATTTCGTAAACAAAAATACTGAAGTCTTTGATGGGCATTTAGAATGTGGTTGAAGATGAAGACACAGTACTCTTGTGTAACACCATTCAAGACTTCTTCATGGTGCTAGGTGTAAGTCCTCGCCCTGAATGTTCTATACAGTACAGACGTTCCTGTCCATAGAAGGTTCATTTTGTTCATGCACACACAGCTGTATTTGCAATAATACCATAACATTTCAAATCCAAACAAAATATCTCGTCTGTTGCAAAAGGGGCCTAGCTACACTGACACTCTTGAATTTTCTTTTTATCTGCGATTTTAAATCGATTGGGTTTTTATGGCTTCTTTGTTGAATATATTTCAACCAACGAAGGTAATTTGACATATTCATTAAATGGAATATATTATTGTCAATTACAATACTTAAGTCGTACAGAAAGTTAGCCTCACAGTATGTTTGCGTTTTCACATCATATACTAGTATTCTAGAAAAACGATGAAAGCATTTTATGATAAATGATTAAACATATACGGACAATACTTAGTTTTATTTTTCACAAGTAAAGGAGATGTTCCAGTTTCCTCCCAAACTAACAGAAATCAGTTTGCTGTCATAATCTAACAAAAAAAAACCGTATTGGATATTTTCCAGTATAATGTACACAGTAAGATTCAGTAAAGACAGTCAATATCTGAAGATGATATCCATTTTCCATTAGTTTCATGTTCCTCTTTCATTTGTTTTAAAACACATTTACAAATTATAGAGGTCGGACTAGTGAAAAAATGAAAGAAATATTGTTTGGTCTATTACCTGGTGTTTGAAATATATTTTTGTAACCACGAGCGGGATGTATCAGAATATAATTTGCCTGAATATTTGATATGTAGCAATTCTAAACCCTTTGAAAACAAGGTTAATCAAGATTCAACAACCTTTCAAGAAAATGTTTCCTAAATATATTTAAGAAACAGAATCACAAACCTACTGAATTATACACCACGTGTTTCTGCTAAAATCATCAAGAGTAGGTACGTATGAATCTAATTTTTATAACATTCGGTACAAATTCAGAAAATGTATTTTTTTTGTATTTCAACAAAAAAACAAAGCGGCAGCCATATTCTGCAAGAAATAAAACACTAAAGCATTATCAAAGAGACATTGCCATCCGTCGTTCACAACAGAACATGAAGAAGTTGGAAAAAGCTTGAGTTGAGAAAATATATTATATTTCAACTATATTTTTGTGTACACTACATCGGTATTTATTTCATTTTTATTTGAAATGATATTGAGACGAAACAAAAAAGTCGCATACTGCTATCGGGTGTAACTACGGTCACAAATTCAAGAGTGCGAAGCAGGTATTAGAAATAAGCTAGAATTCCATTTTTGAAAGATTTAACAAATAACACGATGACTTTGGATCATATGATGGACCGGGTAGCCTCTTAAGCCTTTGTTGACTTTGAGATTTAGAGCTGTGACCTAGATTATAATGGACATCAACCACTGTCAGCAATGATAAAGGGGAAATCTCGCAGCACACTTTGCCTTTGTGGTGATTTTAGTTCCTGGTAGAACTGAAAGGTAGGGGAAATTATTTCCAATTGTTTCCAAAAATTAATCTATAAACATATTAAATCTATGCGTTCAGTGTGTGACGGAAAAATGATATTGGTCACTATTGATTTTATTCGTTTCTGATAAATTTATTAATTCTTCTTTATCACTGTTTTTAGAATAAATTTGACCTTTTCCTTAAAAACACGTTTACAAAGAGCATTAAACTTTCGCTAAAATGTCCGTTAATCTAACGTATAAACGGAAAAAGATTGTTACACACAATGAATCGGTGTGATAAAAAGTTTGCAATCAGAAGCGATTATGAATATGTGTCCGGGTATTAAAAGTCATTCTTTGACAAAACTAACCCAGGCTTCAGCTTCATCACAATACAGTATGTGAACAGTAAGACGCTCATTTTAATAGACAAGACAGTCTATGCCGTAGCTGTTCTATCTTTATTGTCCTAATTCATATTTAAGAATTAACAAACAATTTTAACTCATGAAAATCATACGTTTGTAGGTTATATGCATATATCATGGATTTATTCTAATGAGAAAATTAGCATTGAGATACATGTGTTTAGTTACTATCGCAGGTGCCCATTGAAGCAATGTGTCCTGTCCCGAATGAAACAAACACTGACAAGATTCGAACCTTTTACAACGCTATATTTCTGAGGGTTCGCTGTCTTAAGACGACGACTTTACTTTGTACTTCTATCGGTTAATGCTTATATTGTGACGATGTACAACAACATATTTGCAGTTTCACACTTTTGTGGATTATTTAGATTATGGTGAGGGTGTAATAACCAGTTGACATTGATATACATAAATATAGGGTTAAATCAAGATTCGGCTGCGTGTTGGACGGATCCTATAACTGTCGTCCCACAGAGCGTCATATCTACTTAGCAGAAGTGCGTACCTACCTATATCAGACATAACCTCCTCGTCTCTTCCGGCTTCCTTCATCCTTTCAGAAACCTCTGGCTCTGTGACCGTCCCAGGTCCCCATAGGGGCCCAGATGTCATGATGGGCAGGTTGCTTTCACTGACACAAGCTCGAAGACCAAGAGCAATAGCATCTTCTGCAGCTTGTTGCCTCTTCAGGGCCACCTGAGCAGCCATGACCCTCTGTCGTTCAGCGATCAGGTTGCATTTTGGACAAGTACAGTCCTTGTACCTGCAGTGACGTTTGTGTCCTTTAAGCCAGGATACCATTCCATGATTTCTACAACGAGCACATTTGGGCTTCCGGGACCCCCTTTCCGTAATGGGGTAAAGCGTGACCGAGTTCATGGCGAGATATGCTGGGTCTAAACTCGTCACCTCGCGAGTGTAGCAGATATCTGTTATTTAGTTAATTGTAAACCCTTAGACCCGCCCACTTGAAGAGAAGGGGTTGACCACGCGCCTGTAACAGCCTGGAAACACTCTCATAATTGGCTCAACCCGCTCCCAACCCAACTCCGTGCCTCAGACCTAGCCTCCTATTGGTTAAAAGCTGTGTAAACATCGCCCTAGTTGAAACATAGTTTTAATATGCCAGTCAGTGCCGTGTCACTTTTATGACAGACAGGAGTTGGTTTGTTTTCTTTGATAAAATACTAGCAGGTTTGATATACCCACCGCCGTCCTAGTCCCCTTGTTGAGAGTACGTGGTAGGCTCAATGTTAACTCTACTGTCTCGGCGTGGGGAGGGGATTTAGGGTAGAGTGAAGGGTTTATAGTAGCGGGACCACATTAGTGTAAGGGAGAGTGTGGTGGGTAGGAGGTAGTCCTATAGTATGTAGGCTATATTAGTGGATCGGAGCGTGAGTAACAGATGAACGCTTGCCTTATTCCCGGAGTCGATCGGAAATGGCCTAGGCGACTTGAAAATCGTCATTGTTAAATTTAAAACAAATAATTTTCAAAAGTTTGATTGTTAATGCACGAATTGTATTTAACAAATATGGCCAAATTGTTGGGTTTTAAAATATGGAAATAACCCAGCTATTGCGATAATTTCTATTTATTTATAGAAGCCAAGAGAAATATATATAACCGTCACCGGAAACATAAAGTAATTAAGTTAGAAGTCCATTGACGTATCGACATTATTTGTCAGAAAGTCAGTTTTATTAGATATTCATTTGCTGTGTGATATTTGATAATTCTGCATAGTGTCATGTAATGTTTGTCTGAAATACACATGGAATTCAATTAAAATACACTAACTGTATACGGGGCCCATATCACATATGATCGTCGAAATGACTCCATTCACAATGTGTTGAAAGAATTCAAACTGAACAGCTTTGTACATTGAGCAATTGCATATTTGGGTTTTTCGCGAAGTTTTGTTTGTATAATTGTGCACGTTAAACGTGTATGCTTTAGATGACTTTCTAGCAATTAATTTGATCAAATAGACGAACGCTTTGGACCGTCCATGTAATAAGAGGATAGTATATCCTCTGTATTTTGAACAGAATGTGAGCGATCTTTGTTTCCCGATACACAGAAATATTCATTCCCTTAAAACATAATAACTTAAAAAAGAGTCAACATAAATTCTCTTGAACAAACAATTTAAAACTTTTTGACGCATATGTTTTCATATATTTCTTCACGCATAAATTGTACTTTCTTTTTTAAGGAAAAATTGCGTAAGTCAATGTCTATTTTATGTTGTATTTAAAATATTTAGAAAATGTAAATCAACATCTCTAAATTTAATGCAGCCACGGGTGTACACAGTTTTGGTCAAGCTTATGTGTAGTACATAATGTATATGCTATTAACAAGGCTAAATAACACACCCTGACAATATCTGCTTCATCATTTACCGTTACCCTTCTACGCGGAATGACATACAAACAATGACTAGCATGTATGTCTGAAATACCTTCCAGTAGGGAGGTATTTCAATATACATGTCTATGCCGTGATATAGACAACCCTGCTAGGAAATACATGCTTTTTGAGGCTTATTTCAAAAGCAAAGCAAACACAGACAGTTATACAAGAGCTTATATGAAAGATGAACAGATGATCTGGACGAGACACGGATAAAATAATCTGATTATGTCCGAGGTCAAGACTGTATGATTCATAATAACATAGTATTACCATATGGCTTGTGATAGAGGATCGCACAGAATAGCTGTACCGTGAACTTTAAACTTTACAACAATCTACAAAAAATACAACCCCACTGAAAAAGTTGTTGCAGTGATGACCATGTGTTGAAACATGAATGGACGATCTTATTACATATTACACGTGAATCTGCACGAGCGGGTATGTCGTACGCATACATAATAAAACAAACCACACACTAATTGCTGCAATGACGAATGTGATACAAATATGTAAAATATTTAAATTAGACGTAAAAACGAATTAAACGGTAATAGGTATTGAACACGAATTTTTTTAGACTTGTCAAGGGATTTTTGGTATCATTTCTTCAATGAAAATATTAATTTTTCTTCAACACCCATATTAGGTTGCATGAGAAAGAATTATTGACTTGAGGAGTGGATGTGTTGTAAATGTCGAGAAATCTAGAAGGACAATTACTGGCCAACCTGGCTGAAATCAATGATGGTTTCCTGGGCAAGGTAAACAGATGAGGGGATACCAGTGTGCTGCATCTGATGGTTTAACGGGTTGTCAGTATACATTTACTTCGAGTTTCCCAGATAAAACTTGTATAAAAATATACCATGTCTGCAATAACTAAGGCACATGCTATTTGAAATAGTTTAATGATTGAAATAATTATAAAAACCCACTGATATCACTTCGCAACAAACCCGTGTTGTGTGTGTCCTGTATATTGTGTCTGTACACCTGGGTGAGTGTGTGACCTTGGTACGGGAGGAGACAGGCCGTGTGTTACGGGTACGGATGGACACACTTATTGTGTGCCATGTGTTTTGGGTATGATAGGATATGTGTCTTGTCTGTATGTGTTACGGGTACGGATGGACACACTTATTGTGTGCCATGTGTTTCGGGTATGATAGGATATGTGTCTTGTCTGTATGTGTTACGGGTACGGATGGTACGGATACACATATTGTGTGCCATATGTTTCGGGTATGATAGGATATGTGTCTTGTCTGTATGTGTTACGGGTACGGATGGACACACTTATTGTGTGCCATGTGTTTCGGGTATGATAGGGCATGTGTCTTGTCTGTATGTGTTACGGGTACGGATGGACACACTTATTGTGTGCCATGTGTTTCGGGTATGATAGGACATGTATCTTGTCTGTGTGTGTTACGGGTACGGATGGACACACTTATTGTGTGCCATGTGTTTCGGGTATGATAGGACATGTGCCTTGTCCACATATGTGTTACGGGTACGGACGGACAGCGACTTTGTTCCTGGTACGTAAGGACATAGTTACTGTGTAACGTGTGTAACGGGTACGGCAGGACATAGACCCTGTGTGATGCATGTTACGGATAAGACGGAACATCAAATAACATCTAATGTAATCTTAATTGCAACGATTTGCTTGGGGCAAAAACCTTTCTTTCCTATTTTGTCAGGACATCTAATGTTTCATATCAGATAAAATTCTTCTGTTGCGAATTCTTGATTGGACTAAAGATTGACATTTAAGCATTGTTTTGTTTTATACATTCGATTGAAATGTAAACGTTAGCTTGATTGGAAAAGCTGCAAAAAATTGCTTGAAATATCAAAAATCAACGCGAGATACCGGATTCGGAAGTCAGGCTTAAAAGCAAAGTAGCGGGGAAAACTATAAGAATGGATCAATGAAAATCAGTGATGTTACCAGGTGTCAGAGGATAGGGTAAGCGTATGATGCCTTACTCACATCTCCTCTTCATACAATACAGAAACAGAACAATTAATATTAATATATATGAAAATAAATCAAAAGAGTAGACTTCACAGTGGTACCACGAAATCACTAAACGATTGACTGGATTATTTGCAAAATAAATATAAGCTACAATTATTATTAATATAAAATGTGAGTATATTTTTAAATATATTTGAACCACAAGAATATAACTTTACTTAACTTGATGAATCTGATTCAGCTATACATACATCTTCATTTATTAAGTCAACTGGTTAAGTGAGATATTTCAAGAAACCAGTTATCCAAAACCACTTTACCGACCTATCCGTATGAAAGTCACCCCTCTTCTGTCTGGTGGCGAGAGTTTCCGCCTCGCTGTGAATGCTCTGTGACCAGCAGCAATAATACCAATAAACAGAATAATAAACACTTTTCACCGATTCCCAAGTCAATTAACAAACGGGGTGTACTCAACTTTCTACAAACAATATGATGTGATTTCAAATTCTAGTTCTCACAGTTCGCTTAGACGGACAGTCTCCGAATTATGTCAATAAATGAATAAATATTAGCCTGTGCTTGTAAACAGCAGTAGCAGTATAGTACAGCACAGAACCTGTCGTTGGACTTTTGTTAGTTTGCTTTTCGAGGATAATAAACAACTTCCGTGTGATAATATTTTACACATCATATAACATATAACATCAATATAATAGTAACATTTTTGTGTTCTTAGCAATAGCTACAATTGTACACAAATAGATCTCAGAAGTTATTGTGACTCTTACCTGAAACTGAACAAAAATGATAACTTAGATACACGGTCCAGTTTGATAACACGAGAACGTTGTTTTCTTAACATGAGAACATTGCCCTTTTCGCTAACACATTGTGTCATCACTGATACATTCACATAATTTTCATCACACGTTTGCTTTAAGTGCCGTATGGAATTCATGTCGGTAGAGAATCAAAATTTATTAAAAATTATTTTCACGGGTTCACGGATCAAAATTGATTGATAAACTATATCGGGGATTTTATTTGATAAATTTTGTCACACAACACAACCTTCTTGCGAACAAAACACAGTGATATTTTTAACAACTCATCAGACATATTCAATACACGATAGAGTTGTGTCACAATGCAACTTATAATATTAAAAATGAACATAGTTTTCTCTAACTTTATTCTGACGCTCAAAATATGTACGTACCCTAACGCATCTTTTCGGTCTGATAATTGACATGTCCTTTCGCAAATGAATTATGGCAATTGCATTGATGTCTTAAGTTAATTAGAGTCCAATATTTGTCCCCGACCAAAGAGGTATCGCCCCTTACAATAGCTCTTAAGCGCGAGTATTTGTACCTCAGCTTGGCCAGATCTTCGGGTTACACTACGGCCGACGCTCGGCGCAGACACTCTGTCTGTGGCCCATAGGAGCGGTGTGAGAAAT